AATTAGGAAGGTATACACAAGGTTGTACTTTTTCGCCATATTTATTGAATCTGTGTGCTGGAGCAAATAATTCAAGAAGCTGGATTATATGAAGAAAACTGTAACATCAGGGTGGAAGGAAGACTCATTAACAACTTGCAATAGGCAGAGCATACAACCTTGCTTGCTGAAAGTGAAGAGGATTTAAAATACTTACTGATGAAGATCAAAGACCATAGCCTTCAGTATGGGTTGCTACTCAATGTAAAGAAAACAAAAATTCTCACCACTGGACCTATAAATAACATCATGATAAATGGAGAAAGGATTGAAGTTGTCAAAGACTTCATTTTGCTTGGATCAACCATCAACATTCATGGAAGCAGCAGTATTGCATTAGGCAAATCTGCTACACAAGACCTCTTTAAAATGTTCAAGAGCAAAGATGCCAGATTGAAGACTATGATGCACCTGACCCTAGCCATGATATTTTCAATAACCTCATATGCATGTGAAAGTTGGACAATGAGTAAAGAAGACTTAGAAGAACTGAATATTAAATTCAATTAATATTAAAGAAGAGAATATTAAAAGTACCATGGAGGACCAGAAGAACAAACAAATCTGTGCTGAAAGATGTACAACCAGAGTGCTCCTGAGAATTCAGGATGGCCAGACTTAGTCTCTCATACTTAGGATATATTATCAAGAGGGTCCAGTCCCTGGAGAAGGACATCATGTTTGGTAAAGTGGATGGTCAGTGAAAAAAAGGAAGACCCCCTCCCCCCAAGGAGATGGACTGGCACAATGGCAGCAGCAATGGGCTTAAGTGTAGCAATGATTGTGAGGTTGGCGCAGGACTGGGCAGTGTTTTGTCCTGTTCTGCTTAAAGTCGCTATGATGTGATACCGACTTGGTGGCACCTAACAACAACAACAACAACCTTTCTTGCCTCTCCTTCTTCCTACTATGTCTTATTCTGGAAGCTCCACTGAAACCAGTCCACCACTCTGCAAGTCTGGAAATGAATGCACCCCCATGGATCAATGTTCAATTAACCAACAGATACATGGTGACAACAATACTAGTGAGGTACACACATTAAAATGTCCAACCAATTGAGATGGGTGGTGGTGATGTGCCATGGAGTCAATTCTGACTCATAGTGACCCTGTATAAGGTTTCTGAGGCTGCAGATCTTTACAGGAACAGAAAGCTTCATCTTTGTACCACAGAGAGGCCAGTAGTTTCGAACTGCTGACTTTTAGATTAGCATCCCAACTTGTAACCACGACACTACCAGAGCTCCTTAGAAGGCAGCATTTGCCAACAACAAAATTCAGAAGTATTAGAAAAGAAGGAGGAATGGAAAAAAGAAACACAGGGAGGAAGTGGGATACATGATGTTACATTGAGGGGATTGTGGCACTTGAGATGAAACAAACTGTATGGCATTCTAACATGAGCACTGGACTGTTAACCTCAAGGTCGGCAGCTCAAACCCACCGTCTGCTCCTCAGAAACCCTATACAGAGTCGCAGTGAGTTGGAAACGACTCAACAGCAGTTAACAATAACAACAAATGACTTGTTGAATATAAAACTGATGTTGTGAAATTGTAACTATTACCCTTTTAGCCAAATAAGATACATTAATAAATACTTTTGCATCCAAAAAAAAAACTGATTATGTGTTCTGTAAATCTTCATTCAATTCACAATAAATATTTTTTAAAAACAGAAACATTTTATTGTGAATCAAGTGAAAGTTTACAGAGCTGATGACAATAAAAATGTTTTTAGGAGGTAAACTTCATGATCCAGCTGGCCACCGCTGGACACAACTGCATTTCACCCTGTGTTGTTGTTGTTGCTATTGTTATGTGCCAGGGAGTTGGTTCCGACTCATAGCAACCCTGTACAGGGTTTCCGAGGCTGTAAATCTTTACGGGAGCAGAAAGTCTCATCTTTCTCCCGCAGAGTGGCTGGTAGTTTCGAACTGCTGACCCTGAGGTTCGCAGCCTGATTCGTAACCACTATGCTACCAGAGCTCCTTTGTAGAGATTTCTAATTCCGCCTTTAGCGAGAAATTTTCTGCTGCTCAGAATGGCATGTGTCAACTCATGTTTGATTCTGAGCTATTGCCTCATGTTCCCATCTGAACCAAGACCAAGAGGTCCAGACAGAACTGCCTCCTGCCCAGATTAGATGCTCAGATGGCGCCAATGCCTATGGCTCCTACTGTTCCTCCTTTAACCAAGGCCAGGAGACCTGGTTTGATACAGATCTTTCCTGCCAGCACATGCATTCAGGACACTTGGTGTCTGTGCTCAACCAGGCTGAAGCTACTTTTGTTGCTTCAGTAATCAAGGAAAGCACCACTGAGAACCTCATGTCTTGGTTGCCTCTGTGACCCCAAGAAGAATCACCACTGGTGCTGGAGCGGTAGATCACTGGTCTCGTACAAAGCCTAGGCAAGTGGAGCTCCAAGCAGTGAGAGCCATGGCCACTGCGTAAGCTGACTGTAAACTCAGGACTACAGACATGGACAGATGAGTATTGCAAGGAAAAAGTCTTTGTCTGCAAATTCAATTCTAGGGGCAGCTGAAAAGTTGTTGTTAAGTGCTGTCAAGTCGATTCCAACCCATAGCGACCCTGTATAGGGTTTCTGAGGAGCAGCTGATGAGCTTGAACAGTGGACCTTGTGGTTCAAACCAACTTTGCAGTCCAGTGCATTAACCTGCAGCACCCCACCGGACTCGAGTTGAAAAGTGGTTGTCTAGAAATGACACTATAATTATTATTATGGAATCAAAAATCAAAATGGATCGTCTTTCCACTTCCAAACGGAATCCTTTCAACCTCTGCTGAATTTCAATCTTTACTCTCATGTCTCTACACTCACTTCATCCCTGGAGTGTTAAAGAATCAGAATAGACATGTGTTTCCATTTTTTTTTAAATTTTTTAATGTGTATGTTAATAAATCTTTCCAAATTTGTTCCAAGTAGGGGACACACATACACAAACACACATAAACACACTTCAAGTGTAGAGCTATAAATGGGAAAAAAATTGTCTCACTCTCTCATTCTTTATTTTCCAAGCAACCCAGTAACCCTTAAGAACTCTGTTGTTATATACCATGTTATATACCATGATGCAGAAAGTGGTCTTAATACAAAAGGATGGAAGGAGAGAGAGAGATAACTTATACATACTTCATACTCCAGAAACTACATACTCCAGAAACTTCATGGAAAGATGGAATGAAAAGATAATGGAATTTTTCCATGAAATTTTTGAAGCCCCCTAATATTTATTCCCCAAGATGTGTGCATGAGAAAGAACCAGAATACCTGGAAGGATGAGAGAGAGGCCATTCAACCTTCTAAATGTTACGTATTCCATTAAGAACCAGTGAAAAACACAGAATAATAATAATAATAAATTATGTAGTTCTATGTGTGAACAGTGCTCAAAAGAGGAAATACCAGATTCCGTAGGAATGCATAGCTCAGGAGATTTGACATGGGCTTCCTTAAGAAAGTGAGGCGTAGGCTGAAGTTAGCCAGGTGAAGGGGAGGATAGAGTGTTCTGGGCAAAAAAAGCAGCTAGTTTCAAGGCCTCCAGGCCCCAGGCAATGAAATCAGTAAATGTAAAAGTCCCAAGAGCTTGGCACATTTGTTGCTTTCTCAGGAACCCAGACCAGTGATTGCAGAGATACAAAGAGACTTTCAAAAAGTTCATGGAAAAATCCTATTATCTTTTCATTCCATTTCCCCATTAACTTTTTGAAGCCCCTACATACTAACCAAGATGTTAGCGATAACTCCAGAGAGATGGCAGAGATCCGGGAGGGTTTCCCACATAAGGACGATATCCTTCATTGAATGCCAGCAGCGGTGTGGCACGATCTGCCTTTTCTAACATCACTTTAACTTTAGTGGAAGGAAATTGGAGGGAGACAAGCCTGGTGTGTTCATTACAGTGTTTAAGATGAGTGACAATAGAGGCTGGGAGGAGACGTTTAAGGCTCTCTAGAAGGCGGAATTGGCTTAACTTGGTGATGATATAGACATATATGGTTATAGGGAGTGGGGGGTGGCGGAAGGAACAGGAACCACAGTTGGCCTCAGGTTTCTGGGTGAATATGGTGGTACCTTTTCTGTAGGAGGTGAAGATCTGTGAAGGTGGAGTGTCTGAGGCGATATGAATTTAACATGAACAAGCTAAGTTTCAGATGCCTGAAATATACATTTCTCCTTTGTCTCATTCCAGTCACCCGAAAAGATAATATCCTATATTTCTTTATCTTATATCAGAGGAAGAGAGGGCTGGAAAGACTTTTAAAAGCAGGTAGTACAAACCCTTTCATTCTAAACATGAGGACACTAAGGCCCAGGGAGTTTAGGGGTCCTCCTCAAAGATACACAGGAGTCTCAGAGCCAGTACACAGGGCTCTTTCTAGTACACTCTGTCCCATGCCCTTCTTCTGAACTATCTCCTTAACCACATTCCCTAAGCAAAAAGCCAGCCTCCTGAAGGAACTTATTCAAACATGTGGAATCTTTGGCCTTCTTATTAATTGAGGGTTCTGAGTATAAAAGTCAAATATTTAGGAAGGTTTAAAAAAAAAAAAAATTAGAAGCAGTTGAAAAGCACAAACGCAGTTAACATGAGTCTCTGGTCATAGGAGTCTCTTCATTTCAACTTCCATAATGATTACTTAAAAAAATAATAATAATAACATAAAACATTGAGTTCACAACACAAAATTTTAAATACCCATCTCTAAGCATTACTGTTTCAGTTATTTGCCCTATGATTTTCTATAAAATTTGTCTCTTTAAACCAATGTTTATAGGGTCTGAAGATTTTCTAGTTGGGTGATGAAATAAAACTTGTGGCTTTTGCTCACTTTCCAATCTCATAGGGTGAATGAGAGATGTTAGAAACAGTGTGATATTTAATAAGGGAACTAAACCAAACCCTTTTCCCAAAGTAAGTAAAAACTGCTTACCTGAGGCGAGAGTCCTTAAAGGTGTCAAGGTATGAAGGGTAACTCCATCCAATTTTATTCCCTTTACATCGAAGCTCTACAGTTTGCCCAGCCATCACACTGAGGGTAGCAGCAGGCTTCTGGAAGCGACCATTATCCATCACATGTATCATTATAGACTGAGTCTTTGGCATTGAGTCAGGTGAGTCCCGGTCCTTTATTTTAGGAACTTTGGGTTTCACCTTTTTGTTGGAAGGCTTGATTTTGTTCTCTCCTGGCTCCTTTGGACGCTTGTTCTTTGGAGACTGTTGGCCAGTAACTAGTACAAATGTGAGAAGAGAGCAGTTGGCTATGATACTGGCATACCCAGAATATTTGATACCTGGAGCAGAGCTCTGGTAGAATAGTGGTTACAAATCGGGCTGCTAATCTCACGGTCAACAGTTCAAAACTATCAGCTATTTCATGGGGGAAAGATGAGGCTTTCTGCACCCATAAAGATTTGCAGACTCGGAAACTCTTATTGGGGTCACTATGAGTCAGAACCGACTCCATGGTACATAGCCACCACCACCACCATATAGGTCACAATTATTTTCAGTAACAATCATATGAAAATAATCATTATTTTCTTGATCGATTCTTTGGTTTTAAGACAATAATTTAAAAATATATGTATTTTAGTTTCAAAGTTACTATTCAAGTTCAACTAAATATGTCACATATAATTCAAATTTGCACTTATCAAACAAGAATATTATTCCACTAAGTTAACATTCTGTCTCAAAAACCCAAAATGGTCACATAGAATGACAGAATAAAAGTTGTTGTTAACTGCCATACAGCTGGTTCTGAATCATATCAAAACTGTACAGCTTTTCCAAGGATCAACTAGTTGGTTTGAACTACCGACCTTGCAGTTAGTAGTCCAGTGCTTATCCTACAGGGCCATACCAGGACTCTGCTTGAATATATGTACATGGAATTACAAAATGTCCAAACTTAATGAATCCTTAGGCTCTGCATGATAAACACTAGACTGCGAACCACAAGATCAGTATTTTGAACACACCAGTCACTCCGTGGGAGAAAGATGAGGCGTTCTGCTTCCACAAAAACTTATAGCCTCAGAAACCTCATACAGAGTCTCTATGAGTCAGAACCAACTCTATGGCACTTAACCACAACAGAGAGCGCTATAGTAATGCCCTCATCTTACAGACTTAAAACAAGGAGGTTGAGAAAGTTAAATTGATAGTACACAAAATCACTCAGTTGCCAGATTGTGACAACATAACGCAGGTCCCTGACCCCATTCCAACTGTTCACTTTTGTATATGCAGACAAACATTCTGCATATATTTTGAACTAATAAGGACCCAAACATTGGCCAATTGAAGGAATTACTCTGGCATTTATATAAAATAGGGAAATTTGATAAATCAGGAGAACAATATAAACAAAACTTAACTGATTTTGATTCAACCAAGTCCTTATAGTACAGTGGGTTAAATTGGGCTGCTAACTGCAAGGTCAGCAGTTCAAACCCAACAGCCAGTTCACAGGAGATGAGGTTATCTGCTCCCATAAAGATTGACAGTCTCAGAAATCCTAAAGAGCAGTTCTACTCTGTCCTGTAGGGTTAGTATGAACCAAAATCAATTTGATGGCAGTGGGTTTATGGTGTAGTGATGAACTTGACTTCCTTTGGGTGTTTCTTTGTTCTTTGAAATGGGAGCCACTTAGCCTCCACTCTTGGTCAGCCTGTCGCAGACCTGGAACCAATCACACTCGTAGGAATCCTAGCCAATAGCTTATTCTAAATATCCATTCCTCTGAGCTTGAATGACTTGCCCCTGAGACCTGCTCTTTTCCATGATCTCAGCTCCAGTTAAGACCTCTCATCTTTCCCTAGGCCTGCATCTCTTCTTTTTTTGCACTAAGATCAAGTTTTATTCCAGCAACACAGAAGTGACTTGCTTTCACTCTCAGGAAACATCAACACAAGCTATTACAATAGTAAGCTAAGGGATATAAACTCATAGGATCTAATCAATAAATGCTAAAAGGACTTTGACAAAATTCAACAACTATTTCTAATAAAAATAAACAACAAAACACTTTGTTTGTTTTAACTTACTAAATTCAATTACCCAAACCAACCACAACTCTGAACTCTGAATGGTAAAACACAATACAGTAGACCACTTTCATTAAAATCATGAACCGGATTTCCATGTCTTGCAATAATCACAAGTAGAGCCGCTAACCTCAAGATCAGCAGTTTGAATTCATCAGGTCCTCCAAGGGAGAAAAAGGAGACTTTCTTCTCCTGTCCTGTCAAGATTTACAGCCTCGGAAGCCCTATACAGGGTCGATATGAGTTAGAACCAACTCCATGGCACACAACCACTAGCTTGAGCTATCTGGGTAACAGAAATATTAACACTGGCCTAGATAGAAAAAATATTTAAAATACCCTTTTTGTAAATGATACCTTTTTTTTTTTTTTCTGGAAACTTTTTATTGTGGATTGAGTGAAGGTTTACAGAGATCATTAGTTTGACATTCACTAAAGCATATATTTTGTTTCATCGTTTTTTTTTCCTTTAAGTTTTTATTGTGGATTGAGAGTAAGTTTACAGGGCAGATCATCAGTTTTACATTCAATAAATCATACAACTTGTTTCATCACAATGATTACATTCCCCTCCATGTACCATCAGTTAATAGTATTTCTCTCTATTCGCTTTAGCTCTTTAAAAAAAAGAAAAAACACTCAGGCATACATAATAATTTACACCACCAAAGAGCACATTCTGCCAGTCTGCTGCATCTCTTCTTATTCTCCGTCCTTTGACCACAGTTTTTCTAGGTCACAAATCCACAGACTCCCTCCTTTCAGGGAGCAGAATTGTGTTCTTGAATTTATCTCCAAGGCTATTGTTCAGTACTGACTAATAGATTCTGATTCACAGCAATCCCGTGTGGCAGAGTAGAAATGTCTCATAGGGTTTTTTTAGCTATAATCTTTATGGGAACAGCTCACCAGATTTTTCGCCCATGGAGCCACTGGCTATGTTGGAATTGTCAGTCTTTTATTTAGGAGCAGAAACCTTAATACTACTGTTGAGCCTGTAGTTTGTTTTCAGACTTTATTGACCCTGCACATTGAGTTTATTTCCCTGTGGTTCTAATGATGGAGAGGGTAGGCAGTAGGGCACATGCACATGTTTCCCAACCTCCTAGAGGGGGAAGCATTATAACTGTTAGGAACATGTCAAAACAGATAAAAGTACACTCATCCTGAAACATGAGTTGTGAAGGATAAGTCTCCGTTTTGCAATACAGCAAACATCACAGTTTTTGTTTTTTCTTTTTTAAGGTAGAAAATAAAAACCTACCCTACTAATGTACAAGTAACCTCTGTCCTATAAATATTTTAGTCATACCAAACCTATGAGATGAATGGGCCTCTAGACTGTCACAAGGCCTATTTTAGTGTGTTTCATCATGGACTAAGCCTTTTTAATCCTATAACAGGGATGTGAGCTAACAGAAACGACAACAGTCATCTATAAATTCTGTGGAATTTATGCAGCTAGTGTAATCTGTCTGACTTCTAAGCTATCAAAAATTGTGTGGCTCTGGTACTCAGGAACATGAGTAACTAACTATGGGTATTAGTCATCCAAATAGTATACTATTCACCAAAATTAACTTGACCAAACAAACCCAATTGATCTAACTATACAAAGGAGCTTCCAAAAGTTCATGGAAAAACGAAATGAAAAGACAATGGAATTTTTCTATGAATTTTTTGAAGCCCTCCTCATAACTGAACTTGGTTCAGTCTCCCTGGAATTGGTCACGATTTGATTACTCTTGTTGGGTGTCATCAAGTTAAATTCTGACTCACAGCGACCCCACGTGACAGAGTAGAATTGCCCCGTAGGGTTTTCAAGGTTGTAATCTTTACGGGAACAGACCACCAGATCTTTTCTCCATGGAGCCATTGGGTGGATATGAACTGCCAACCTTTCAGTAGCAGTCAAGTTCTTAACCATTGCCCCATCAGAGTTCCTTGGTTTCATGGTAACGACGCTCATTTAAAGCAGCCATGCTAGTGGCTCCACAAACACTCAGTCGGTCTCATGCTTCAGTGACTCTCAAATCCTTTGTCTGACTTTGGAAAGAATACGAAACTTTCACCTAAGTATGAAAATCAATGATCTTCCAAAGGTCTACACAATATGAGAAAAATATATATATAAGTGAAAACATTATACTTTTTGACTATTACATAGTCTCTGGTAGCGTAGTGGTTACGAATAAGGCTGCTAGCCAAAAGGTCAGCAGTTCAAAACTACCAGCGGTTCCACGGGAGAAAGATGAGGCCGTCTGCTCCCGTAAACCCAGTGTAGGATAGCTATGAGTCGGAACCGACTCCATGGCACACAACAACATTTTATTTACATTTAAAATGTAGTTTCAGAAAAATGGGTGGTAAAATTCAAAAACCATTAAGTATTGAGACCACGTACTGGTTCTGTGCTGTGTGACCTCAGAAAAGTTACTTACCCTTACTCTGCTTAGTTTTTTCATCTGTAATTTGAGGGTGATATAGGCATATATTTTAATATGTATGTGTGTGTATATATATATAGAGAGAGAGGGAGGGGGGAGAGAAGGGCGAGAAGGGAGAGGAGGGAGAGGATGGAGAGGAAGAGGAGAGAGAGGGAGGAGGAGGGAGATGGGTAGAGGGAGAGGAGCTCTGGTAGCATAGTGGTTATGAACCAGGCTGCTAACCTCAAGGTCGGCAGTTCGAAACTACCAGCTGTTCTGCTGAAAGATAAGGCTTTCTACTCCTGTAAAGATTTGCAGCCTTGGAAACGCTGTGCAGGGTCACTACGAGTCGGAACCGACTCCTCGGTACTTAACAACAACAACAGCAATAATAACTATCTCACAGATTGTTGTGGGGATTAAATATCTTAAATGCTGAGAACATGTCTGACCTGTGTTGTTGTTGTTGTGTGCTGTCAAGCTGGTTCTGACTCATAACCACCCTGTGTAGTGTTTCCGAGAGGGGCTAGTGCGTTTGAATTGCCAACCTGTGGCTAGCAGTCCAGTAATTGTCCTATAGTGATACATAAGTGCTGTTTGTTATTTTGTGGTTGTCACTATCTCATTCGATCTCCATATGAAGAAAGAAAAGCCCCTATCATTTTTTTGTAATGGAAACAACAAAAACAGTTGCTGCTAGGTTGACTCCAAACCATGGTGACCCCATGTATGCTAGAGTAGAACTGTGCTCCC